GGTCAGCTCGGGCTGGGACGGCTGCCGCCAGGGGGCTGGCACCCCATTCTCCATGGAGCTGCCCTCCTTCACCTGGCCATGGGCGCCGCTGTCAGCGGGGGCTGGCCAGTGTCGCAGGGCATGGATGGCACTGACAAGCGCGCTCTCCACGCTGGCCAGGGAGGCCGCCCACACATCCTGCTCATCTTCCTGGCCGTCCCTGGGCAGAGATTTCAGCTGTTCTCGGCAGTTTTCCAAGCAAGTCAGGGCCTGACTGTTTTTCACCTGGAAGTTCCCAAGTTCCCCAACATGACCTTCAACCCTCCTGTCCCTTTCTTGCCTCTCCTGCTCCAGCTGGGAGGTAAGTGCGCCAACTTGGAGCAGGCTGGCGTGGAGCTGCTCGCGGAGCTGGGCCTCGGTGCCAGCCCACTGGTGGTGCAGCGCAAGCAGCGCCTCCTGGCTCTGGCCCTGCTGGCTCTCCAGCCTGAGGGTCACATCTTTGAGCTTCTCCTCTGTGACGTAGAGCTTGGTCTCTAGGGAGTGTATGATGGACAGGTACATCTCGGAGTCGCCAGTGGCAGGCAGTGCGCTGGGCGCAGCCTCGGAGGACATGCTTTCCTCTGAGGGTGACCGGTCCTGGCTGGTGTCGGAAGATGTGCTGCTGGTCCAGGTCTTCTCAGACCCTTCAGGGTGGACATATTTCTGGCACTGTATTGTGGAGAACCGGATCCTCTGCCTTTTCACACCAGGTGCCCCCTGGTCGGGTCTGGTTGTGCTCTGCGGGTGCCCCTCCCTGTCAGGCACTTCCGCCAACTTCGGGGGCAGCATGTTCTCTTCCCCGCCAGGGCTGCCATCCCCACACCCCTCCCCCAGGCCATCCTCCTCCTCATGCCTTGCGTGTGGGGAGCCCAGAGGTGCCCCTATGGCTCGGAGCCGTTGGCCCAGGAGCAAGATGCCATCCTCTTCCGTTTCTTCCGGGGCACTCTGTGGCTCTTCTATGTCCTTTGAAGATTCATTTGCAAATTTCCTTAAAATCTCTTCCTTTGCCTGAAGCTTAATTTCTGTTTCCTCTAAGCTGCTCCCCAAGACAACCATTTTAACCAAAGCCTCATTGAGGTCCTGATCTTTCTTTTCCAGAACTTTCTCGTGCACTTCCTTGATGTGCTCTAGCTCCTCCTCCTTCTCTTTCAGCAGAACGTGCATGCTCTGGAGCTGGCTGGAGACCCTCTGGTAGGAGTGCTCTAGGCTCTGGCAGTCAGCCTCTCTTTCCCTCAGCTTCTCCTGGAGCTCCGCCACGTCCCCATCAGACGCGGCCACACGCTCCGTCAGCTCCTGGAACTGCTGCCTGAGGAGATCCCGCTCATCACAGAGGCTCTGCACGTGCTCAGTGAGCCTGCGGATGCTGCTCTCACGGGCCGCCAGCTGCTCCTCCAGCTGGTGCACCTGCTCACTGCCCTCAAACGTGGCGTTCAGCTTCTCCTTCTGGAGGGCGTCTACGTGCTGGGCATGGCCCTGCAGCTGGTCCTCGTAGGTGCTCGCCTTGTCCTCCACCTCCTTCAGGTTCTGCAGCAGCACCTGCTTCTCCTTCTCATAGCTCTCCAGCAGCAGCTCGTAGTTCCTCTGCAGCTTCTCCTCCATCAGCCGCTGGGCCTGCTCGCTGGCGCTGAGCTGCTGGCTGAGGTCGGTGATGCGCTCCTGCAGCCTCTGCACCTCCTTCTGCCGGTCCTGCTGCAGCGCGTGCTGCGTCTCCAGGTCCCGCAGCTCCTGCGTCTTCTCTAGCAGCAGAGCCTCGGCGCTCTTGAGCTTCTGCTCACTGGCCCTCAGCTGGCCACTGAGCGTCGCCTCGCTGTGCTGCCGTTCCTCCAGCTGCTCGCGGACCCTGCCCTGCTCCCTCTTCAGGTCGCCCTTGAGCTTGACCAGTGCCTGCTCCTTGATGACCAGGTCGGCGGCGGCATTGCTGAGCCGCGCCTGCAGGCTCCGGATCTCGGCCTCGTGGTGCCGGATCGCATCCTTGGCCTCCCCATAGCTACGTTTCAGGGTCTGAATCTGGTGCGTGATCAGCTCCTGGCGCTGGCACTGGGCTTCGAGCTCACTTTGGAGGTCTTGGTTGACTCTATGGAGCCTCTGCCAGGCGCCCGATGGGGAGGTGGCCACTTCAGTCTTAAAAAAACCGATTAAATACTGGTTAGTAACACTCGGGCCTCCCAGTTCTGAGTGTCACACCTCTGGCCAGGAACAACCACAGAAAATCTCCTTGGTGGGTTTGGCTTTTATCCTCTGTACAACATTTTTTCCCCATTAACAAAATCCAACAAATCATCTTAATTTTTTTTTTTTTTTTTTGGTAAACGGCTGCTTCCAGGTAAACAGAAAACATGGACAATAACATCAAAAAACAGCTTTAACTGAACAGCTTCTAGGAGAAATAAACCAAACAAAACTGAATAATGGAACACACTGAGAAGCAAACGAGAATAAAGGACAGAGAGCCGCGGGCAGAGGGACAGCAGGAGCAGAGCACCTGCAGCTGTCTGTCTGTTTGCAAATAACAAGTACACGGTTCTTTACATCAAATCCTAAAAAAGTGCAGGACGTAAGGTGTAAGTAAATGATATCACTTCCTTCTAAGAGAGGAAGAGAAGGAAGGAAGGTAACACTTGGGAGATGTCAGCAAGGTGACATAAGAACATTTTCCTTTGCAAAGTGTACCCAGTCCTCCACAGTAACAGGAAGAACTTATCTCTACCTGCAAGAAGACAAAACGAGGGCGGAAATGGAAACCATGGAGAAGAATATGATAACCAGCAAAACAAACAAACCTTTGAGAAGTTCAAAATAAGAAAGTGAAACATGCAAAAAAAAACAAACAAAAAAAAACATAAATGAAATGAAATTCCCCAAACTGAAAGCCATGCAGAATAGACAGAACTCATACAGTGTGGGGGAACCAACACGAAAAATACTGAGACGAGCCCAGACTGGGAAGTCGGCCTGCTTGTGCCCCCTCTCGGTGTGCTAGCCGGGGAAGCCACAGATGTGACACTCAGTTAAGTTCAAATCACACTCCACAATCAGCGTCCACACCATGCATGTGCCTCCCAGCAGCGTAACGCCCACCCCAGCGGCTGCTCCTCCTATCCCTTAACCCCAAAGCCCCCTTGCTCACTCTGGTGGTTATAAAGCATTTCGCAAGCTCAAAGGGTAGTGAAAAGTAAGAAGTTATTAGCTTAGCAGGAAGGTATCAGACCACCTTTGCCCAGTGACCTAGAGGGGCTTCTGCGTAGGCTCATGAGACTGTCCACATTAGACATGGAGGCAAGCTCTTAGGTTAGCAATGTGCAAAGTCTGCTGCTGGTACAGGCTGAGTATCCCTTATCCTTAATGCTTGGGACCGGAAGTGTTTTGGATTTTAAAATATTTGCATTATACTTAGTGGATGCCCGGATGGGCATCCCAAATCTGAACATCTAAACTCTGAAATGCTTCAGTGAGCATTTCCTTTGAGCATAATGTCAGCACTCAAAGTTTTGAATTTCAGAGCATTGTGGATTTCCGAATTTGGGATGCTCAACCTGCATCTTTACCCCTAACTTGAAGTAAATTCTTTGTAGGATGGGGGCCCAATCAAGGCTTAAAAAGATGCTCCCCACCCCTGCAGGGCCTGTGCAAGGGACCCAGGGAGAGGCCCAACACTGCCATTTCTGGTGCCCAAGAGTCTGAACTGGGCCAGGCAGTGACAACAGCGGAGGAGCCTGGGGAGGAGGGTCCAGGACACGTGGGAAAGAAAGACAGAGAAGGCTCAAGGTACATGCAGCAAAAGAAACAGCACAGAGAGAAGCAGGTAGGCAGAATGGTCAGAGTGCCCCTGGGACAACTCAGACCAGGGCCAGTGCACAGTGGTCTGAAACGTCAACACTCAACTCATCACTGAGACTCTGGGTCTTTAAAAGCCAAAAGGGCCTTCACGGTCCACCAGGTCTAAGCCTACAAAGCAGAGGACTACTGCTGCAGGGGAAGGGACACTTGCACTTCCTTCTAGTTTCAGTGGCAGGGCCAGAACTCGAACCCGGGACCTGGACTCTAATACCACATCCTCAGCCCTCGTGAGAACTAGGCTCCCAGGCTGTCACCCTGTCTCACATCCCCCCAGCACTTAGCCGTCAATATCCCCAACAGCATGACAGCTCCACGGGCACAGCACACGCCTATTCTGCCCCAGAAATAGCACAGGCCTTGCAGGCTGCAAAACAGTTGGCCCACGTGGGCCTGCCCTGGTGCCAGGCTAGCTGTTGCCCCATGACAACCACATTAGGCCCACTGGCCTTTGGGAAGCTGGCTGCTGGCCAGGAGCCTGTGGTGCGCAGATCTTGGTGGAGGTGCACCGGCTGTGGGCTGTCAGCTCAGGACCCAAGCTGCCACTGCCTCATCTCTCCTCTCGGCTGGGCTGGCTGGGTTGGCTCGAGGCTAGGTGGTCACACTGTCCCCCTGTAACTTCAGCCTTGGCAGAAAGTAGAAAGTGGGACCACGGGGCTGGTGGTAATAGCCCTGGGTGTGCCTGCAGGTGTGATACAAACACAAGCAGGGAGGGTCCAGCTCTAGCTCTGCCTTTAACTTGCTGTTGGTCGTGAGCAGCCGCGTGGCTCGCTGCGTGATTCGATCTGTACGGTGGGCAACACCGCTATGGTGGAAACAATTAGAAATGACATGCGAATGTACGGTGTTTATAATAAACCTGTCTCAGCCACTTTCAGATCCAAAAGGAGAGACTACCAAAATGATTTTATTACCAAAAAAAGTCCTTAGACACAGAGGTTTCACATAGGTCTCCCAAATGTCATACTGAGAGGGAACTTCCCCCAGCACACTGCGAGCCCTGGCCTCATGGCAGAGGAGTCCAGAGGCGTACGCTTGGGGAGGTGGCCCCTGCCCAGGCAGGTTTTGCACATTCCTAGCCTGCCTGGCCTGAGCCCGAGCCCTGCACACGGAAGCCCCCAAGCACCACGTGGCCCCGCCCACCCTACCTGCAGCACATAGCCCTCCCGGGCGCTCTGCTCCCGGCCCAGGGCCACCCTCAGCTGGTCCTGCAGGAGTCGGTTCTGTTCCAGAAGGTCTGAGGCTTCCCTCTGGCTCTGCTCTAGCTGTTGGCAAAAAGACGCATATTTTTAAGCAAAATGACAATAAACAAAAGCAGCAGCAGAGCACAGGCCCACAGAGGCATGCATTTCTTACTCCAGCTAGGCTTCCACATGGAATCCCCACATTTCAGGGGACGTGCTGACCTGCTCTCTACCTGCATCACTGGGAGTCAAGGTTCCAGCTCAAGCAGTCAGACTCGGTGTCTTCTGGGGAACCAAGGGACCGGCTTGCCCCACCCCCACCCCATCCCTAGGCAGCCCTGGGCGCCCACATAATTTCCACACCTGCTCACAGTTCCAACACGCAGGCCCCGCACAGGTACAAGTCCCATCCGCTCCCCGGGAAGCCCCGTGAGGTCCTTCCACTGTCCTCAGCTACCCAAGCGGGCCTGGTGGGCCTCCCCCTGCGGGCCTCCCTCCAGGCCTTGGCATGGCTTCACCTGAAACTTCTCCATTTAGCTGGTTTTACACAATGGATTCCACATAAAGTTTTATTTGCAAGAAGGTTCCTATAGTTCCCTCAAACAAGATGTGGAAACCCATGAGTGAACTATTTTACACTCCTCTTGCTTTCACCAGCTTTAGAGTCACTCACTCATCCATCCACCTCCTCCTCATAGGTTTCCTGGGTGCCCTCTTGCCACTCAGCTGTGGCTGAATGGGGCCGCCTGCCCCGTTCCCGGGACTGTGGTGAGCGGAGCTAGGTGTGCACAGGCAGCCGGGGCCAGCTCCTCCCAGGGTGCGGCCAGACTGTGCTGTGAGAGGCTGGGAGACCCCTGACTTTTAAGCGTTAAGGACAGACTGCTATCTAAACCACAAACTAACGAGCCAGCGTGTGGCCTGCTGACTAGCTCATTTTGGTAGTTTACAGCAATGTGAGTTTGAACTGTTATTTTATTTCATCTTGCTTTTATTATTTTATTAATGGGTATAGAAAATGGAAAAGTCAAAGTGTTGATGCAGTGATAACTGAGCCTCGCAAATAAAATAGGAGGCACGCCAAAGTGGCAAATCTTTAGCTTTAACGAGCTACTTACGTAAAAGAATGCATTTGAAATACGCTGTTGGAGACTGTCCCTGAACGGAGGGTTGAACAGGGAGTTTAACAAAAACCAAAATGCTACACCTCCTTGGCCCTGGGGCTGATGTAAACCCATTGTTGAAGTTTTGCAGATTTGATTTCAGGATACACTTCCATGAGAACATCTCATGCTATAACGCAGGGCTAGAGTATTCATGGCTGTGCCCCAGCCCGAGGCCAGGTGTGAAGGTGCCAGTTCGAGTCCCTCCCCCAGGGCCTGCCCCTCCCTGCTTCATGTCCTTAGCACCCAGGACCCTCAGAGGTCTGTCCAAGGGCCACTGTCACAGCATCTGGGCTTATCTCTGCCTCCAGCTTCGATCTGCTCAACTCAGGCTGCCCAGAGCAGATGCACACCTGACTCCCCCTCCTTAACAGGTAGGGCAAGCCCTGCCACCCCACTCACCTTGTGTCTGGCTCCTCTGTCCTTGAAAGGCCCTGATGATCCCTGCCCGATTCCCCCACCTGCACCCCGCATCTCTCAGCGTCTGCCTCGACTACAAGGACCCTCCACGTGTCTATCTACCTTACAGGTCTGCATGTCCCTCAAGGGGAAGGACTGTGTGGCCGAACCCCTCCGGCCACGGCTGGGCACAGCCAGTGCTCAGGAAAGGCTGCTGCAGGGGAGCCTGCCCCAGGCCGTTACCTCCTTTTCTAGCAGAGAGGTCAGCTCCTGGGCGGAGAGCCGGTCTCCTCCATCCTCAGAGGAGGACAGGTGCAGGGGCGTGATGGGCACCTGCTTTTCTTCCCGCAGAGGGGTGGTCTCCACCTGATGCCACCGCTGCTCAATCTCCACATGGACATTCTGTGTCTTGAGGTCGGGGGTCACAGGCAGCCCTGGGCTCCGGTCCACCTCCATGCGCAGGGCCACATCCTCTGCATCTGCCATCCCAAAGCGCTTGCGGCGCTCCTCCCGCCGTCGTGCGCGCTCCCGCTCAAGCTCGCCAGGCTCAGCCTCAGGGCGCCCAGGCTCGTGGGTATCGGGGGTTCCCACGGGGGTCCCCATGGTGCCAGCCCTCTCCTGAGCCAGGGCCTGCTGGATGGGACGGAACTCAGCCCAGTCAAAGGTCTTGGAGCGGCCCTCCCGTCTCCGCTCTCGAGCGCGGCTCCTCTTCTGCTCAGGGTCCGACTCCCCTGGCTCTGCCTCTTGCTTCTCACTCGGCCTCGGGCAGGTGTCAAAAGAAGAGCTGCTCTTGTTCTTTTCCTCTGGCAAGGAGCTGCAGGGCAGGAGGGCAAACACAGCCTCTGTTGGGGGCAGCTCTGGGGACCCCCACCCACCAAAGGGCTGGCAAGGTGAGCTACAGCCCAGGCCCTGCTTGTAGCACACCTCTGTTCTATTCCACCCGCAGTTTCCAGGGATATCCCATTCCTATCCCTCCCTGCTGGCACTGCCGTTACCCTAAGCAACCCTTCTCGAACGTGGTTCTGACAGGAGGAGGAGGGAAGAGAGCTTCAGACATCCTGAGGTTTCCAGCACATCAGTACTAACAGGACTCCTTAACTGAAGGGGTGCTGGACAGGGCGCATCTCTGGTGGCCCTGTCCCAGGGTGATGGAGCCTGGGGACTCCCACAGCCCACAGGCAGGACGGACTTGCCCGCCCCAACCAGGGCCAACGCCGAGAGCTGCATCAGGCTATGCCATGCCACAGCCACCATCCACATGTTTGGTGAGGCCACCTGTGTGCATGCCTGGACTAGGCAGTGGTGAGAGAATGAAGGAGAACTAACCACTTCCCCAAAAGGGCTCAGAGGTTTTAATAAGCAGGTAACATGATCAGATCTGCGTTATATAAGCCCACTCTGGCTGCTGGCATGGCAGATGGATCGGAATGAAAGGATGGGACCACCCATGGGCAAATGAGACAAGTGGCCACAAGCCCACACCACGCAGTGGGTGCGGCTGGTCAGGGGAGGCAGAAGGGGAGAAGGAAACTTGGCAACCTGCCACACTGAGGCGGCAAGAGGCGTCAGGGACATGGGCCATGCAGGTTGTGCTCACGGCATGCCTGGTGCCCAGCAGCAGCCCAGGGCGGAGCTGGGTGTGCCTAAGGAACTCACACCTTTTCTCAACCTGCCCAAATCAAAGATTCTTGGTCAGGCCTTGCCTTGGGCAGGGGAGAGCTGGGGGCATTGCCGATGGCAAATTTGCAAGGAGGGAGTGGATTTGAGGCAGAGGATTCTGGACTCCATGGTTAAGCCCCAGAGGCTGACCAGGGTGGTCCCCAATCTCATCCCAGCCCTTTGAAGGGAGCTAGAAGCCACCCGGGGACAGCGAGGGCCAAGGGGGAGCTCTAGGGAGCACCTATGTTTAAATCGGGGCCATGGAGCCTGCGAAAGAGGCACACAAGGAAAAGAGCAAGTGGCTGCTGTCATCCCCAGGGCCACGTGTCCCAGCCTCAAGCTGCTGAGAACCATGGTGCTTTGGAATGGTCAGATCCGCAAGCGTCCGGTTTAAGAGCACACTGGCTTTTGGATAAAAACGATCAGAGATCTTCCTACATCACTGAGCGGAGAGCACTGGCTCAGGCTCCTGGTGGCGGGAAGTGCGGGGATGACACACAAGCAGGTAGCACACAGCGACCCCCACGGAGTCCCGCCGGCTGCCCCTCAAGGCTCCTCTGGCCCTGAAGGCCAGAAGCATCCTCCAATTCCCAGTCACAGACAGCGAGACCAGCAGCTTCTGAGAGTAATCCTGCTTTCATGCCTCCTTCTGATTTTGTCTTGCAGCACTAAGAATATTCACATTTTTCTCAAATAACGAAAGCCAATACAGAGGAAGAACAAAGGCTGAAAATAATTGGGGGTGGGTGAGCACTCTCCTAACTTGTTAAGACTTACTAGCTTATGAAATAAATCTAGCAGGAAGATAACTGCCTAGTCAACTTTTGTATAAAAACAAATCCGTGGTCTCTTCATTCGGCCCCGGCCAGCAGTCCCTGCATGCAGGGAGGTGGGCACTTGAGCATGGCAGGCTGCCTCTCCGGGGCCGTGCACAGGCACACACATGTGGCATGGGGGCCAGGCCTGGCTGGGATGAGGCAGGAGGGACAGGCCCTCGAGCCACCCACCCCTGCTATGCCCTGCCTGGAGCCCATGCAGCAGGTTCTATCTGCTGCCAGCAACCTTAGCAGAGAAGCCCGAGGTGCCTCTCTTACTTTGCTATGGGGCTTCCTAATAAAAGTGCTTGGAAAAGAGCACTGGGCCCACAAAGTCTGGGTCTCTGCTCCTGACGGGAGAGCCACAGAGGCAGCGGCAGGGGCCACCAGAGCACACCCCCTGTGAGGGTGGGAGTGCCTGCTGCAGCCCTGGGCACCTCTGCCCAGCTGCACACACACAGGGCACCCGCTAACCAACGAGCCAGCTCTCCAAATAGCACCCCAGAGACAGACAAAGGGCAGCCAGGCCTGGCTTTACTAATGCAACAACAACTAGACAGTGTTTGTCTGACGAAGCAATGAACAAATGACAGACGCAGGAAAGAGGACAAAAGAATCAATCTGGGTAGCTTTTCTTTACTTCTCATTCAAAGAGGTGTGGAATCAGCAGAAGGAGACAAAGGTTCGGATAAAGAGGGGACAGCCAATGCTGCCCCGGCTGCGACTCACGGCCTCCACAAAACTTGACCTGTGATGCAAGAAACCTACCTGCGGAGCAATCGGCACCACGCGACCCGAGAAACGTGCACCAGAGGTGCCCAGACACGGAGGCTCTGAAGCCCTGTGGTGGGGCCACAGAGTCTGGACTTCGCAGAACCATCCCCACACACTGGAATCTTCTCACTTTCTTTTAAAATGAAAGCCAGCAGGGCTTCCAGGGCAGGAGGAAGAAGGCAAGTGGAGGAATGCAAGGCAGACGAACCACAGAATGCTAACGCCGAAGAGAACAGTTTTCTAACCTAGGTTTCAGCTCTGAGAGTTTCAAAGAGAAGCTGCTGCTGGCTGCTAGAAATCAAACATGTCGAAGCGAGGGGAAAAGAAGGCCAAGGCACAGAAGAGCCACGCTGGCCTGAGAGCGCAGCGCCCAGCGCGACCCGCCCCCAGCAGCACAGCAGCCAGAGAACAAACAGGCCTGAGCCTGAGCCGGGCTGGCAAGGTGCCACCAGCCAAGACACAAGATTCTAGATTCTCTACGCAAGTCCAGCTCTATGATGGGCATAAACATGGCCTGCATGACTGAACTGGACAGGTGTCAACGAGGAAAAGGTAATCTGGGGCAGAAAAACGAGAAAACCAAGAGGAGGCTGAGCAGTGGTGAGACAAACGAAGAAGCCGGGCTGGGCTGCAGCTGGAGCAGGAGCACAAGGGGCTCCCAGGCATCTCCCAGCACCTTACCTGGTCACATCTGGGGTGGTGGCCGGGTGCACGTGCTTCATGATGGTCTGGATCCAGTTCCTCCGGATTCCAGATGTCATGGCCGACAGGGTGAACTCACCATCTTTTGTCTACATGAAAGACAAAAGATGTTATCAATGACTGTCCCCTGGAGGTGCCTGCTGCCTCCCACCTGCAAAGGAGCCCCTTGCACTGGGTACAAAGTACTGCAGGGAGAGGGGCTGTGGCCAGCAGCCTCCTAGGAGCACTGCGTGTGCCCTGCTATAGGGGCAAGAAAAGAGTTGGAGAGCAGAGGGGACAGCAGAGCCACGGCAGGGACACGTTTTCATGGCAATGATAAATCAGCCATCTCCCCTCAATAGGATCAGCACACATTTACTGAGCAACTACTGCATGCCAGCAGGCGTGCCAAGTACACACAGAGGAGGATGAGTCCCTCTCTTTAAGGAGTTCCCAGCCTCGGAGGGATAGACAGGACCGGCATGTGCTGAGCAGTGGGGGAGGTGGGGGACAGGCTGCCTGTCCCATGCAGGGGGAACAGCATCTACAGTCTAAACTCACACACACAGGTGGATGGCAGACAGGCCGATCAAGGTCTGGTTGGAAAGTCACACTGAGAAAAGGCAGGGAGCCCCACCGGGCAGCTGCTACAGTTGTCCAGGTGATGAGGATTAAGACAGTGGCAGAGGAGAGAGGAGACTCAGGCTCAGGAGGAGTCACAGGGTGGGCAGGTCTGTCACTGACTGGGAGTAGGGGGCAACTGAGGATAAGCCCCAGACTCCAGCTTGTGTGACCCGATAGGACCGTCAATCAAGACAGGCAGTGGCAGGGGAAGGGCCTGTTCCAGGTGGGGAACAAGGCAGCAGGTGGGACAAAGGCACCCAGAGTAGTGTGGCCTCTGCGACGTGACCCCTCCATCCCTGAGTGGCCCTGCCTGGCACCTCCCAGAAAGGAGGTGTGCACTGTGTCCCAGGCCAGCCCCCAGACACGATGACACAGCCAGAAAGTCAAGTGCCAAAGCCATGCCAGGCCCAAGTGTGGGTCAGGGTTGGTCCTGCCCTGAGGGTGTGGAAAGCACTGGAAAGTGCTAGCTGCTTGCTCTGCACCTGCAGGCACTGCCCAACAGAGGTGAGAGTTGCAGCCCTATCCTGTGAGCTGCTCAGGCTGCTCACAAATGGACCCAGGAGCCAGCTCAGCAAAGCTGCTGATGGAGGGATAAAATCACAGTCAGTTTTCTTCTGGGCCCTAGCCTGGCCAGGGCCCCGGCACATGCAGGTCTGGTGTGCACAAAGCACAGCTCAGACCTGGCCTGCTCCTCCACCTTGGTCCTGTCCACACAACCCGGTGAAGACATGGCTGCTGCTCAGCTGGGCTTTCCCTCGTCGGCTCCGCCCCTCATCTCCCTGCCAGGGCCTGTCCTTATGCCCTGGTGTGAGCGCTGCTGGAGTTTGGCCTCAGCTCTCCACGTGGATCCCACTTCCCCAGCTGAGCTCTCTTTCTCAAGGGCTGCCTGACTTGTGCTCTCCAAGAGCCCACCACAGGCTCAAACATGCCACTGGCCAGAAATCCAGAGGCGCCCCCTCCTTCTGTGAAGCCAGCTCTTGGCTTCTAAGCGGGACATTGCCACGCTCTGGGTCCTGGTCCCTCCGCAACTGCTCTCCCTCCCACTGGCACTTAGCTCCCTCCTTCTGTGCCCAACCGCACCATGCCAGCCTGCCTTGCTCCCTTCTAGCCACCCTCCACATCCTGCTGGACACATCTCACAAATGCACAGTTGCCTGGTATCTTCCAACACCTTCCAGTGCTTTTCAAGACCTCAGGGCAAGACCAGCCCCCAACCTGGCCTCTGTACCCAGCTTCCTCTCTGTGCCACCAGGTCTGGGACATGCCACACACTCGGCCCTCCAACCATGTCTCACGGGACCCTCCTCCAGGAAGCCCCCTCCATGCTGAAAGCACCCCCTCCTTACTTAGAATTCTTGGCCACTGGGGCTCATAGGAAGGGACTTCTGAGATGGCCCACACCCCTGTCCATCACTGGAAGAGCAGGACCATCTCCATACTGCAGGTCCTGCCCAGGGAAACCTGCTGGTCAACGTGGGGAGGTGGCTGGCTGGAGAGGATGCTCACTAAGCCCTGTACCTATCTACCCCTCCTGCAAGGAACCAGAGGCAGAAGAACCTTGCAGCAGGGCAGCATGGGTTTGTTTGTCAGGGCAGCAGACAAACGAAGAGCCACTAAGAGACCAGCTCACGCCTCGCCCGGGTGCCAGGACATCAGCACAGCCTCTGACCATGACTTAGCTCCCACCACAGATGCCTGCACAGAGGGAAGCCATGACCAGTGCCCTGTGGGCTGGCAGCTGGGATGCTCCCGGTAAGTGAACTCACTGGCCTTCAAATCTATACTTCAGTCTCCTCTAAGTTGGGTTAATCTGAGTTAGCCGCAAAGTGCCTGATCAACTCTCAACACAGCAATACAACTGAGTTCCTGGGCCCAAAAATCTGAAGACAAGACCCTGCTACAGGTAAGCTCATCAGAGGTCCAGCCTTGTGTGAAAAAACAGGGCTCAGGGCCCATCTCCACAGTGGCAGCTCTCCACCCATCAGGCACTGTCAAGGCTCTGGTGGTTAAAGAACTAACTTTACCCCCAAGAGGCCTGGGCTTTGTCCTGGCTCCTGGGAGGTAACTTTGAACTCTTAGAATTTCCTGAGTGAGTAGAGTGCCTTCATTACTCATGATGGTCCTCTGGGACCCTCCCTGACAGCTCATGCTGATAAGATGACTCAGGGTGGAGGCTGGCCATGCCAGAAAAACCAACCATGAAATCAGAGGGTTGGGGTTTGGGCCGGGAGAAATCAGCTAGTCTGTAGGGGGAGGGCCAGAGACTGAGTTGCACCGAGAGGACAATCAATCATGACAGTTACCGAGCCTCAGTCAAAACCCTGGACACTGGCCGGGCACGGTGGCTCATGCCTGAGATCTCAGCACTCTGGGAGGCCGAGGCGGGAGGATCTCTTGAGCTCAGGAGTTCGAGACCAGTCTGAGCAAGAGTGAGACCCCGTTTCTACTGAAAATAGAAAAATTAGCCAGGCATGGTGGCACATGTCTGCAGTCCCAACTACTGGGGAGGCTGAGGCAGGAGCATCACTTGAACCCAGGAGTTTGAGGTTGCTGGGAGCTAGACTGAGGCCAACTGCACTCTTGCCTGGGCGACAGGGCGAGACTGTGTCTCAAAAAAAAGAAGGAAAAAACCAGCCTGGACACCGAGGCTCAGGCAAGCTTCCTGGCGACGCTCCGCACAACACCTCACAGCAAGGCCGAGCAGGCCCATAACCGCCAGGACACGGACACTGTGTGCCGGGCCTCCTGGTCCCATATCCTACCCCACGCCCCTTCCTTCGGCAGGTTCTAATTTTGTATTCTCTTGCTATAATTAAACTAATTTTAAGTATCGTATTTCCCTGAGTTTTGTGAGTCATTCTAGAGAATTCCTGAACCTGAAGGTGATGTGGGAGATCCCTGAACTTGCAACTGCCGTCAGAGGTGAGGGCAGGTGTGGCAGGCAGGGGACCGGGCCCAAAACCTTGAGGCTGGCTGATGCTAGGCAGCCTCAGTCCACATAGCTTCGAGGACACAGCCAGTGAGAACCGTTTCATTTGTCCAATCACATTATGTTTCCGAGGGTAGAGCGATGTCTTGCTTATCTGAGTACCTCCAAGATTTTAGGAAAAAACAGCCTTGTGAGTGAATGAGTGAACAAATGAATGAATATGTGGATAAAAAGCTATTTCTTGAGATTTAAATAATGAAGACTGTCATTCTTATTCCCCTTATCCCACATCCTTCCAAATGTTCCGAACACCAGCATTTTTAAAGAGAAAAAACAAAAGGACCTTTAGAAACAAAAACCTTTAAACAGTCTTGAGAAAAAAATCTGCTAGTGTCCAGTTTTTTGTTCAGATCACAAATCGGGGGTGGGAATCAGGTCCCAAGGACAGAGACATCAACACTAACGGGAGAGACGGAGTGCTGACCACACACACACCACGCCAACTCTGCTCAGAAATGCCCCGGCCGAGGACATCAGTCTCTCTGAGACATGTTCCTACTGGTCAAGCCTGCAGCCCCCCCTCCACTGCTGGGGCTCACATGTATCTGGAAACCATAGTTTCTCTGGACTGGATACTCCGTGACATCATAACATGTAGACAAGTCAATTTCCCCATCCAAGTCAGCTGCCTGCAGAGAGAAATAGAGGGTCTTGTGAGATTCAGGAAGAGTGAATGCCCAGATGAGCAAGAGTGAGACTCTGTCTTAAAAAAAAAAAAAAAAAAAAATGGGTATGCAAAGATTGAGACTTAATAGAATTACTACAGTAACTTTCACTGCTCCATCAAAGACATTTATTTATTTTAAACAAAACAAAAAAACAAAATCCAAGCACCATGAGTATATGGCAGTGAAGAGTACAGTCTGGCACAGTCTGTTGCTACAGCCTTGACTGTGCCAAGGAATCAGCAGCTTTATCTACTACTGCTTTTGTACCAGCAGTGCAGATGTCAGCACAGTGAAAAAAGTCAAAGGCATCTTACTATTATAGTTTTAACCATCACAGCTCTCCTGAAAGGGCGTCAGGGACCCCCAGAGGTCTACCACTCAGAATTGCTGTTCTATGCACACACAACCAACCACTTACATGTGCTCCTTCCTCCCCTGATGTGAGACACCAGCAGAGGCCTGCCACGCACACTATGCTACACCTACCTTTATCAGTAACATCTTTCCCCTTCAGAGTATTTAAACATACATACCAGCCCCCAACGCTGGATATTCAGGTTCTTTCCCACCTTCTGCTAGTGCGAGCACGTGGGAGTGACTGGCCTGGGACAGACCCTTCCCTCCTTGTGGGAGCACATCTGAAGGGTCCCCATAGCAGAGCCATCAGGGAAAAGGCAGAGCAAAGACTTGCCAAATTGATCAAAAGAGATTATTTTTCTTAACAGGCAAAGAAAAAAAGAGACCCTTCTAGTTGGTTTTTGACCGTGGAACGAAGATTGTGCAGGGACCCAGTGAAGTTTGTCTACCACGCCCCATCCCTGTCCAGAAGAGAGGGACAAGATTTAGTTCAACTTTTCCAATGACTCAATTCGTCACAAAATCTCTTTGTAGAAAAAACACAACTGCTCATCCTGTGTTTTCAAATTTTAGTTTTTCAAAGAACAGAGAAAACAAGTGCTACTGACATCCACTGCACCCAGCTCCTAACACAGGGCCTTGTAAGAAGAGCCCAACGTCAGAGGCAGCAAAACAGTCACAAGGACATTAAAAGCTAGTTTTATGCTCACTTTCCCACCAGATTGAGGCTGGGAAACCCAAGGCAGCAACAAAGATGCCCCTCAACAGACAGATGGGGACTTCGGCCCAGACAAAAGCAACGGCACAGGGACCCTCTGGTTCCAGACGCCACCTGAAGCCCTTACAACAGAAGCGAGGCCCACTCACCTCCTCAGCCACCGAGTCCCTATAGTATCTCAGGCTTTGATCGGCCAGGACGAACCAGTGTTTCTTCCACTAGAAGGGAAGAAAAAACAGACTCAACTCCCGACTTCCGTGCAGCGCGCTCACTGCTCCAGGGTGACGCACAGCACAGTTCTCAGAGCACGTCCCAGGGCACGGAAAGCGCAGGGCAGGGGGCCCCTCCCAGTGAGTGCAGGCAGTGTGCAGAGGACTCTGCTTCGGCCGCAGGCAGCTAGGCACTCACGGCCTTCGGGAGCTCGCTAAGCTGCAGCTCCTCCAGTGCACAGGCAGCACAGAGAGGGGGTGACCCCGGCTCAGGCTCTCTGACCCAGTGGCACAGCTGGTGCCCAGTGCAGTGCAGTCCTCGATCTCAACTCCAGAGGCTGCAGAATGGCTGAGTCCGTCAGAGTGGACAGGTGGCTGTGAACATGGCATCTCCACCTGTAGGTGGCAGCTTGTGAGCGACAGCCACTTGGCTGGCTAACCAGCAGGAGCAAACTAACCAGCTAGAGTCTCAAGTCTTCGCTGCAAGTAGCAAGGAGGGGAACTTTAGTCTTCAGGCAAAGCCCAGGGCATGTGACATGGAGAAGAGAGAAAAAGGGGATATTTTGGCACAGTGGCTCAGGAAGGGCATGGAGATGGACCGGGTACAGGGCCTCTTGGGTAAGGAACCAGCAGGCTCCTCTTCACGTCTGGTTTGGAAGCCTGGCCTTCCAGCCCATAACACAGGCCAGGGTGGGGCCAGCTGCAGATGGCTCTTGTGCTTGAGTCTGATGGCAAGAAGGTAGCACATCTACTCTTCCCAGGGCAACATGCTGCTGCAGCTGAGGGCTCCTCCTGAGCACAGGAGTCTTGCATAGCTAATCTACCGTCTACTTGGCTGCCTTGCATGGAAACAAGCCAACCCCACAACCAGCTTTCCATGTCTCTGAGGAAGCCTAGACCCCTAGAGAACTTTTAGGAAAGATCACCAGGTGGCAGGGCCTAGCACTGTAGGGGTCCTAAAGCTTGAGGCACAGATCTCCTGCAGGCAGCAGGCAGGCCTGGCTGCTCTGAGCACTCCCCACTGCAGAAATGGGGGTGCACACCTGCGCTTCTCTCTCAGACTGCATCAGCCACAGTCCTGGTTCACAGGACAAGGGTGTGCAGCAGGCAGGGCTGGAGCCAGTGCTCAGACCCATGTGAGGACAGGTCAGCTCCACCTTGCACCTGCTCCCCAGCCCCTCTTGGTGGGGGACAAGGGTCACAGTAACTCTGCATACTCACCTGGCCGTCCTCATACTGCTTGGTCAGCCAGCCTTTCTTGAAATTCAGCAGGTCAGGCTGAGAAAGGGAAGAAAAAAGAACAGCTTAGAGGAAAGCCCCATGGTATCCTAGTCATGGGCAAAGGGCATCTGACGGGGCCGGCATTTCTGTTCAGATGAGGCAGGCACCAGGAACGGGATCCACCTGCCAGATAAGCCTGTGTAGCCCCCTCCCCAGCAGGTGCTGCCCACAGCCCCCCTCCCACAGGCATGAGTATCCTTGAGGAAGGAGACACCAAGCCTGGCAGGCTGGGGAGAGAAGGCGCGGCCTCATTGCTCTGAGCAGCAGGAGCAGCAGCAGCAGCCAGGGCTGTAGCGCCCTGAGGGATTGCCTCCTCGGGCCACCCTGCAGGGCCTGTCTATGGTAGAGACCAAGCCCAGATGGAGAGTCACACAGCATTCCACACGAAGGGGAACACCTGCAGGGACGGCTGAAAGGAGAATTCAAAAGTTCTTGCAGAAGCCTGGAAGCAGAGATGGGCCTGGTGTTGAGGAAGCAGCAGCGCCAGCTCTGCCGCGATCCCCCGCCACTTCTCTATCAGGAAGCTCGGTTTGCCTTTCCCCCCAAGAAGCAGGACAGCAGACGAGGCAGGGACCTGGGCCAGGAGTGCTGTCCCTGATGGTCCCCACACGCCCGAGCAAAAGAAGCAGCCTGAGACAGCCCCGCGTCGGGCCCCTCTGACCGAGGCCCATATCTACCACCCCGTGCTCTTGTGATGCCAGGCCCCACAGAGAGATGGGTCCCCTCTCCTCTGGCCCCACCTTGATCAGGAACTGCCTTTGTCTTTCTACATTCCAAGGCCCAGGAGGGAGTTAGCACACTCGAGAAGCAGCAGGACAACCACCAGGACCAGGTGTTCTGGGGACCTCTGCTGCAAACCCCGTGCCACTGCCTAGGCCTGGCAGCAAGGTGGGCCCAGATTAAGAACAGTCCCTCTCCAGAGGCTTGTTTTAACCCAGCTTCCTGCCAAATTGCCCCTGCTGCAGTACCCAGTTGAAAGCAATCCTGTGAAATTACCACGCCCTACCCCCAAATGACCCTTAAATAGGGGTAATCCTCTCCTGTGTGTGCCACACGAGACTTGGGATAGAGGACTGCGTCTTCCCCTCTCTGGCTACCCTAGCTTGAGGGTCTGTGACAAACACTCCTAACTTCCACACTGTGGTTGTCATTGACTGCCGGCGACGATGCCCATGAGGTAGACCCCTGTCTGGTGCTCTGCTGTCAGGGTCTCTGGCACATGCTGGGGACAGTAGGTACCAGGTGAGTCAATAAACTCGAGGAGTTTCATTCCAAACATCCTGAAGCAAAACCCAGAGTGAAGGAGGAACCAATCCTCTTGCTTACATGCCATGGTTACACATCAATCGGTGGCTGGCAGCCACAGTCCCTGGGGAGGCGAGAGGCCCACTGTGCGCTGGCTTCACCGGTATCAGAGAGGGGACGAGAGCTGGTAACAGGCACAGTCCCCCCAGGAGGCTGAAGAACAGTGGAGGGGAGCCAGGTCAGTGTGCCAAGAAGCCGCCTTGCTCTGTAAGCTCTGGCCACCCCCTGCTGCACCTCCGTTGCGGTGACTCTGGGGCCAGGAAGAGGGCCTGAGGCAAGATCTGCTCTTCACTCATGGCACAGCCCAGAGAACAGGACCAGCTCCCGGCAAGACGCAGCTCCTGCCTCCAAAGTGCCCCCAAAACAAATACCCAACACCAGAAGGGCACTGGGCCCCTGCTGTGGCCCCACTTCCTGGAGTCCGGATCCTTCACGGGGACCTCCTCCTGCAGCTCAGGATGCCACGTAGCCCCCAGTTCTGGGCCCAAAAACGGGAAGAAACACAAGATCTGCTTCCGATGGCCTGTGGGCTGGGCACTCACAGATACGAGGGCCCGTGCACAGAGGGACAGCTGGCATGGACGCATGGACAGAAACAGACAGCAACCCAGAGTGACCAGAGCAGAGGTGCAGTCTCCAGAGGACGCAGCACACGGCACCCACGCTCACCGTCATGGAGGGCTCCGTGGACCTCCTGTCCAGTGACTTGGCTCTGCGGTGTGGAGACAGGGGGGGAGCTGAGGCGTCAGAGAGAGGAGCTGTGGGGGCTTCGCTGGTGACGTCCTATGGCAGAGAGCAGCTGCCGTCAACACAGCCCAGTGCACCTTGAGCAGGCGGGGGTGGCCAGCCAGGGTCATCCACCCTCCAGGGGCTGCAGGGAGCCTTGCTCCCAGCGAAGGGTGGCGATGTGCCCAGGCCTCCACCGCAGGTGTCTGGCAGGGCCAGGAGGGGACCCGAGTCCCAGGACACCCTGGTCATCAGAACAGCTTTTTCTTCCAGATGCCCAGCCACTGTCTCTTTCCTGGCCCCACCCCATCCTCCAGCTTCTCGGGTCACAGAAGGAAGAGCCCCGGTCGATGGCAGTGAGCAGCAGGCCTCGGGCCGCACGAGTGACAGAGAAGCCTGGAGGAAGATGAGCTGAGACAAAGCAGGCTACAGAAGAAGTGGGAGGGCAGGCGCCCAGGAGGAGGAGGGCTCGGAAGCTGAATCTACCTCGTGGACTGAGTGGAGAGGTGAGGGGCGTGGCTGTACTCAACAGGAAGAAGTAAGGCATGATACTCAGCCTTGTTGCAGGGCCACCTCACAGGGGAAGAGAGTGGTGCTAGTTATCACTTAGGATCTAAAACTCAATAGAACATCCTTTAAGCAGAGACGGATGAGGTTCTGACATGAAGATGCAGAGGACAAGCCTGCCCCTGAGAAAGTCACCGAGTGCTGGAGGTCAGAGAGCGGAAGCCTGACAGGAGCACATCCCAGGAGTGTGTGTGGAGGGGACTGGGAGGCACGTGGGGTCGTGTGCTGACCTGACCCTGAGCTCCCCGACCCAGGAGCTCACCCGCTTCCTGGGGAATGCCCTCTTCTCGCTGCGGCCCTGGCGAGCGTCGCTGGAGGGCGAGGGCCCTGCTGACGAGTTGGTCTCCATGCGCTCCGCCTTCTCAATGTCCAAGGCCTCAAATTTCTCAATTACCTGGGACCTCCTGAAAGAGAAGACGCTGAGGTGAGAAACAGCGTCTCACGTTCCTAAATCGAGGAGGGGCTTTTTTAGCCGATACCCTCATGCCTGGCCCATCCCGCCGGTCCCATGCCGGCCTCCCTCAGCCTTCCTGTGAGGCGCGAGGCGCAGCACAGCACCCAACGGGCTTCTGGGCACTCGCCTGGCCGACCCGAGCTCCACCCACGCCCGCTCCCTGCCGCCAGGTCTGCGCTTGCCCTCTGCCCTCCGCCCCATGCTGGAAGCCCTGCCGGCTCTGTTGTGTTGACCCACTGGGCATTCACACAGCTCGGCACCCAGCAGCTTCTCCCGAGCCACAGGCAAGATCAAAAGGCAACCACCACCTTGGAGGCGGGCAGCCTCCGTTTTCATTGCACTCCCCAGTGATCACGATGCGGCCCCACCCAGGGCGTCCCAAATTTAGCAAGAAAGAGGCCCTTGAATTAACATTGTTTCTGCTGACAGAAAAAGACCAAATTAAAACAAAAACAAAGCAAGTTGATTTCATGTGAGAGGGCTGGCGGCCTCATCAGGCTCCTGCTCAGGCTCCTACTGCCGGAGACGGAGCCGAGATGGGGCGAAGCGGGTGGAGGAGGCGCGATGCCACGAGCAGCACAGCAGGAGAGGCGAAGAGGCAAGACCTGGAAGAAAACAAGGCTGGGGAATGAATAAACAGAAAAGCACTGCTCATAAAATCCAATAACGGTCAACCAAAATTATCCAAAGGATCAAAGAAGCAAAAACTGAAGAGGGAGAGAGATCATGCCCCTCCCACAGCCGCAAGGAGTCACCCTGTGGGGTCAGAACAGAAGGCTGGGCAGGGTCTTGCGCTGGGGGCTGCCCACCGGGGGATTGGGGCTGGGACGGCCCCACGTCAGGAGAGCAGCCCCTTCCTTACAGGCCGAGGCCTGTTCTCCCAGGGACACTGAGGTCTCCTCACAGGGCAGTTCCACCTGGGCTCTGGACTAGTGGCCAAGAGCTAAGGGGAAGCAGGTGAAGGGCCCCCAAGCCTTGAAGACTAAAATCCAATTCCACAATCCAATTCCACAAGGAAGAGCGGAAACAAGCTCAAATCCTGAGACATCCACCCCTCCTCCAAGAAGCCAGCTTCTTCTCAGGGAGGGTTAGTGTAAAAACCGATCTGCTATGGTCTCTCCACAGCGGGAGGACGGTGCCAAGGGCAGGAGCCAGAGGGCCCTTGGGCAGGAGCCCAGCCCTGTGCTTCCACACCAGGTGTCATCTTCAGGGAGGGAATCTGTGCCAGGCCAGCCTGCCGGAACTAGCAGCGGAGGCAGGCGGCGGGGGAGTGCAGGAGGGGACGCGGCACGGGAAGGGTAGAAGCTAAGGCAGCTGCTGAGGTTACTGAGCACCCAGGGGAAGTTCTGGTAAATGCAGCACCACATCGAACCATTGTGGTGTGAGCTGGGCAAGATTCTAGGCCCACGGACAGGCCTCAGTGCCACCATGCCAGCATGAGGGCTTCTCCACCTAACACTGGGACCTAGAAAGCCCCAGGAAGGCGCTTAGGGATTGTGCCCGGCCTACACCCAAGATCAGCATGCTGGGGGCTGCGGGGCAGAGACAGAGCAGCAGCATGAGAGGAGGGAAGGCACCCGCTAAGGCTGCTCCACGGGGCCTGGGTAGGTCCTGCAAGGCTACAGGCTGAGGTAACGTCTGTCTCGACTTGCCGGGCAGAGTGGGAAGTCACTAACTTGGTATGCTGGAAGCACGGCACACAAAACAGGTGCCGGTGCCCAGCGGCTCCCCAGGTTCCCAGGGAACTCACCGATGCACTGAGGGCAGGGTCAGGGCTGCATGGGGAGCTGGACTTGCTGTCAGTCACCAGCAGTCCAACCAGGCCACAGCCCCCGCACTCAGTAGCCAGAGGTGAATTGCCACCCAAGGAACACTTCAGAGCTCTGCAAGTCCGAAGAGCAGACATGTCAAAGCCAGAGCGGACTGGGCTCAGAAAGGATGGCTTAGATGGCAACAGCCCACCAAGAAACCAAACCCTGTGGCTCCTGCAGCCCGGCCCCTGGGCAGGCCTGTCATGGCCACGGTTCCAGGCAGCCAGGTTGGTTTCCACTCATCTGGAGAGTCTGCTCTCATCAACTAGGGGATAGGAATCCCATCGAGCACAGGGTGGGCTGCTCAGGATGCCATGAATAGGCCTCGGAAAGCAACAGCAGCTGGCCAGATGCCATCGGGGTCAGAGAGAAGGGACGATGCAGTGTTAGTATGCAGAGCTGGCAGGGCCAGGGAGCCAGCACTGGCTGGAGACCATCCCTACGTGGCAGACAGCATGCAGACTGCAAAGCCCCAGAGACTGCACCTATCCCAGGCCAGCAGATGAGAATGAGTTAAGGTGACTCTCTCCGAGAAGCCAAGCCAAGCAGGTGCGCCGAATGTTAATTCTGTGGTCTGGCGCTAAACCAGGACATGGCTGACCCTGCTCCAGAGCCACTGCCACATGTGGCCCACCTATCGGCCAGCATGGAGCCTCCCCTGGGGGCCTCTTCAATCACTAGCAAGATACTCTACTCACATACTACTTAATTGCTTAAAAGGTCACCCTTGGTCCCAGTCCTGGGTCACATCATGGAAGCAGGGACAGCCCAGGGAGGGGCCTATTGGGATCTGCACCACCTGTTAACTGTGAGAAGTCCCTCAACTTCAACCAGGGGTGGTGATTGACAGGCACCTTGTCCGGGCTATAATGGAATGTAAAGGCAGCCAAGGGCTTGGCAGAGCACCACCTGGCACCTGGAAGGTGCTGGGCAGCCCCTTGGCTGCCCGTTCCCTCTCCCTAGGAAGGAGATGAGTTTTCCTCTTTTCAGAACCAGCATCTCCAGGTGACATTTCCTTAACCCGGAGGCTGACCCACAGGTCCACAGGTCCTCTCCACCTGGGATGTCTGGAAGAGTGGGTGGGTTGTCGGCCAATGGTGGGTGTCCAGAAGAGAAGTGGACAGGAGGTAAAGACGCCCCTTCAACCTCACCCCGGGAAGGACACCCATGGCCTTCGCCCATCCTGACAGCATCTCTGACTCTGCGCTTTAGGCTGGATCTGGGGCAGTGAGGACACTCTGCGAAGATTTCTGGAATTAGGTCTGAACCTTTTTTCTGGATGGTGAACTTCTTTGGGAACCTAATGAAAATTACTGGTTTTCTTTTCTCGATTTCTTCTCAGAACGCCCCTATACACTGTCAATTGTTTCACAGCAAGGTGGGGTGTTGTGGACCTTTGGGAGTCCATCCCTGGACCTGGGTGAGGATCCCTGCTGTCCAGGCAGAGCCTTAGTTTACAGAGGCCCTACCTGAAGGTGTGCTCAGGCTTGGACTTGGGCTTGGAAGAACTGAGCTCCCTCTCCAGTTCTCCAGGAAACTCAGTAGAACAAGGGCAGGGCAGGGCCCCTCCTCTTCTCAGACAACAGCTGAGTTCTGTACCCGTGCCCCTTGGCCACTGCCCTAGGCCTGCTGTCCAAACCCTGTCTCTCCCCGGGAAGCAGGAGCTCCAGGCAGCCTCCCCGGTTCAGCCAAGCCTGGAGGGCAAAAGTGGTGCTACTGGGCATTTAGCTGCTTCACAGACTGCCGCCGGCTTCCCGTGGCTGCCGGGGAAGCGCGTCCGCAAGTGAAGAAGCTGTGCTGCCCCTGCCTCCCTAGGCACAGCCACTGCCCCTGCGCCTCCTGCAATGCCTCTGCCCGCTCCCCCAGCACTGCTGGGCAAGGAGGTCCCCATCACCGTCTGTAGCTCTAGGGTCTTCTTGGCTCCACAGCAGCTTCAGAGAATGGAAATGGGCCAGAAGGAAAAGACCTGTCCCCAACAAAGCCCAGGCAGCTGAGAACCCACCCAAGCCCTTGGGGCTGAGGCATCTTGGTGCTCAGAAATCCTGCATTTTGGCTGCCAGAAAACGCCCCCCCACCACCACTGCCCACCCCAACCCCGAACAGAATGTGTGCTGAGAAACGCGTGTGAGAGCACACACATGCACGTGTGCCTGGGCCTGCGTGCAGACTGCCCTCCAGTTCCCCGCTCACCTCCGCTCACTGCCAAACAGGCGGGCCACCTCTTCCCTGCCAGGGCTCTGGGCCCGAGTCCTACGCTCCAGCCGCCTTCTCTCCACCTGGAAGGCTTCTCGGTGGCTGATCCTGATGGCCTTGGGGACGTCGGCCAGGGTGGCGTACTGCCTGCTGGCTTTAAAGGCAAAGGTGCTCCCCAGTCTCTCTGTCCCCTGCCCCCCAGTGCTGCCAGAGTCCACGTGGGCAGGGGGCCGGCCAGCTACGTCCAGGGAGCCAAGGGAGATGCTGCAGACCATCCGGCTGGGGGGCTGAGGACCTGGGGAAGGAAAGGGATGACCAAGCTCCTGGGAGAGTGATTCGGGGCAACTGTACCTGTTGTTAGGGGTGCTAGGGCTGGGCGGGGAGAGCGGTGGGGGCAGCTGCTGCTCCTCAGCCTTCAAGTCCTGCTTGGTCTTCTCCAGGGAGAAGTAGCCGCTCTCCACCCGGACTTTGCGGCCACAGTCCATGCGGTCACTGCTCACGGCATTCTCCTCTGGAAGAGAGGGGGAGGGAGACACACTCAGCCTGCTGCCAGCTTTGCTCTGAGGATATTCTTAAAAAGTCCATGCAAGACCCAGGCAGGGGCCATCTCTACCTCCTGTCTCCAGCATCTAGCACAGCTTGTCCAAGGGCAGAATAAGAAGAACCACGGGCTGAGAAGGAAATGTTCCTCCCATACTCTTTTCCTCAACCATCTTCCACCCTCACCTGGCTGCCCCTTGGCCAGACTGACAGGCAGGCCCTGCACTTCTGGCCTGGGTCCTGGCCAGACAGCAGGGTCCCACCTTAGGATGGTAGATGTCCCGCCAACAACTGCTTCTCACCCAGCATCGAGGAAGAAGCCCACAGCCAACCAGCCCTCAGTGTCCTAGCACGTTCTGGGGGAGGGCAAGGGCGGGGACTTCTGCAGGAGTAAGATGAAAGGAGCGGAGTTTTGACGTGGATGGGCATGAGCCACTTAAAGCAGGCTGAGACAACTTCTGCCCAGAGCTCGTGCAAAATGCGTTTCAGCCTAAACGAGCTGGGCCCCACTGTCCACTTGTCTTTAACAACCTGGATAAGATATAAATGGAAAAAGTTGGCCTGTGTCTTGCAGAGCCCTCTAGGGCCTGGGATGAGGGAGGCAGAGATGAAAGCCCTGCTCTGCTCAGGCAATTCCAGAGTGCTCAGGGAGAAGGCACGGTGATGCCAACGGCTTCCTCCCCAGCACCTCTGCCCTACCGCAACAAGCCCGCCCTAGCCACTGCTTCTCTCAGGACATGAGGGGTGTCCAGGGCCCATGGCTGTGGATGTGAGCACAGTGATGCAGTAACAGGACTCCTCACACGTAGGCCCTGTGCAGGCGTCTGCAATTCTCCTCACACCCACCTGGGGCTGATAGAACAGGTACCAAAAGCAGCAAGGCCAAGGCCAGAGCCCAGCAATCCTAGTCCATGCCAGGCCAGGTGCTGCCCAAGGGGTGAATGGACAAAGGGACATTGAGGGCAGGGCTTACATGGGGCTCTGCAGGCCCACACCGAGTCCCCAGTGCCAGCTCCCCTGGGGCAACCAAGAAGAGCAGGCACCCAGGCCGGCCTGGCCCCGCTCACCTTCTTTACTCTCCAGCCCAGGTTCCCGCAGGGAGCTGGTAGCAGGAGGCTGGCCCTGGCCGGGACTCTGAGCTGGACTCAGGCTGCTCCCGTCTGGCTGGTCCTTGGCCCGCATTTCCTCCTGCCAGAGTGTGGACTTGGTGGTGGGGACCTTCTCAGCACTGGGGATGCTGCTGCTGCTGCTGCTGGTGACGGCCACCTTGGCAGGCCCAGGCTCCTGGAGGAGAGGGCGGCGTCAGTGCAGGCACAGAGCACACAGCCCAGGTGGGCTCACACCCAGGCCAGTGTCAGGGCCTGGAATCTCCAGAAGGGAATGTATGGGACAGAGGGGAAGCTCCTTCTGGGTGGCTCCGTGCTCTTTTCACCTTTGCAGCCCAACTGCCTGGTCCGACTGGCCTCAGGCCAGGCTTGGTAAAGTTGTGGAGGAGAGGCTCAGTGTCCGTCAGAGTCTGGTCACGAAAGACATCCAAGTCCTCCCCACCCACAAAACTAGAACCTCAGGGCAGTGGGCCAGGCCTTAATGGCAAGACCACAGCGACTGCTCAGTGTCCGTCATTCCTGGACATCCAGGCACTTACAACATGAACAAGGGGAGAGGGAACGGGCAGGAGAGAGAACACAGCCGAGATGCCCAGCGCCCTCTGCAGACCCTCAGGGTAAATGCAAAGGACGAGCTGGACGCAGCCAGGCCAGGCCAGCCGCGTGCCCCTTCCACTTCTGATTCTAAGAAGGTAAAATGGAAAGCCCAGACACTATGTGAAGGACACAGTCATCAGATGCAAATCAAATGCTATGGTTTGAATGTTCATGTCCCTCCAAATTTGTATGTTGAAATTCTAACCCCCAAAGTGATGCTATTAGGAAGTGAAGCCTTTGGGAGGTGACTAGGTCATGAGCCCTAGAGAGCTACCTTGCTCCTTCCAACACGTAAGGACGGGACGGGAGCCCTCACGATACACCGAATCTACTGGCTCCTTGATCTTAGACTTCCCAGCCTCCAGTACTGTGAGAAATAAACTTCTATTGTTTGTAAGCCAACCAGTCTGTAGTATTTTGTTGTAACAGCCTGAACAGACTAAAAAATCAAACATCCCACTCATCTGCGTGCGCGCACACATACACACTCAAGTGCACGTGTTCCCTCTTACACACTCTCACAAGCTAGATCCAGGCCAAGAGCCCAGAAGGGAACGGTGTCAGCTCCCATCTTGCCCCAGGTGGCAGAAGTGGCGTTGCCAGTGGGAGAAGTGCTCATAAGGCAGCGTAGGCAGAAGCAGGGAGCCCACACCCAGGGGCACACAGAAACCCTTAACTCCGTGAACACGGCACCCCAACAAGGGCAGGGCCGGGATCCCCAGCTGCCCTGCAGAGCCAGCTCACACCCTGAGTCCAACCACTGTCAAAAGGGCTGACAAAAGGATGGCTTTAGCCCCTTTCAAAGAGTAATGCCTATCTCTGCTCTCTTGCCAAAGGCAGGGGTGTGATATACAAATACCTACCTCCAACTCCCCTCCTGGTGGCCAAGGCCCACATTTAGAAACCCACCTTAGCCCATCTCTGGCTTAGAGACCTTGGTGAGGGTTACAGATGACACAGGCTATTTACGCGTGTGTCTGTGTGTGCACAATGGCAGATACAGTATCACCCTGAGAGGTTACCTATCGCCAGCCTGGCTGGGTGCCTTGCCATCCGGTCACCAACCTGCCTGAAGGGGAGGCCACAGGTGCCCACACCTGCACCACCAGTAAGGGACAGTGTGCGAGCACGAGCGTTTCCATCGCCCAACCCCAGGAGCAGGAGAAAGGCCAGGGATGGGTGGGGTGTTGCCTTGGATGGGGCACCGGCCCAAAGTTGTCATCAGCTTTGCAAGGATTTCAGGCCGGGAAGGCCATTCCCCTGACTGCCGATTCAGAGCCGCCAGTAGACCATCCCCGGGCAGGAGACTCCCTTCGGGAGAAGTCAGCTTCTGGAAGCAAATGGTGAAGGTATCTCCTGACAGTTTCCTGAGGGCTCCAATGACCCAAGGAGATCTGGTCCCAGGGCCGCCTATCCCTCCAGCCAGCACACCGCCCTGGTGCACTTACCCCCAACAACCCACTAGCCGTACTGGATGCAGAACCACCTCAGTTCCCTGTCCCCAACAGGAAAGCATAAGTCGCTAGAGCCCCGCTTGCGGAGCAGGGCCTCTCTGGAGGGGTTTCAGAGAGGGCTTTCTCCCTATGCGAACAGCAGACCCAGTGGGAAGAGAGGGTTGCGACTTGGAGCAGGGGTTGCAGAAGACACCCCAGTAAAAACCACAAAGATTCCTAAAGAAAGACACGAGCGCGTGGCCAGCGGTGCAGGCCTAGCTCACACTGGCGTGAAGTAGAGAGAGACAGGAGAACCGGGGGCCAGGAGACAGAGGACCTGGCCTCCCCAAGCTCTGTCAGACGAGTGGGGACCCCAGGCAGGCCCCGTACCCTGGCTGGGGAGACACAGTTCTCAGCCTCCCACCTGTCCCCACCCTTCCTGCTCTGCTCACACCTACATGGGTTGTCATGTCCTTCTGCTTCAGGCTTTTTCCTTTTTTAAGTGTAGCAGGGGAGTAAGAAGAGCTCCCTGGAGCCCATGTCTCTCAGGCCACAGGCTTTGGGATCTCTGGTCAGGGCCAGGCCTGCCTCCTCTTCCAGCCTGGGCTCTGCCAGGAGCTGTCCTGGGCCAGAAAGCTACTGCTGCCCCCGCAGCCCATCCACGGCCCTACCTTCAGCTCTCCCACCTGGGTTCCTCGAGGGCAGAAGCAGGGTTTAACGGGGCACGGCAGAGAGTCAATGCTTCCAGCCCTCTGCTGTTCAATCTGAAACTCTCCCAGCCTACACGGGGCCACGGTGAGAGAAGTCGGGTACGGTAGGTCTCAGGGTCTCGCCCCTACAGGGGCCCTGAAGGTGTTACGCTCCCCCCAGCCTCGTTTGGCCCATGAGGACGCCCTCAGCATCAGGCCTGCCCAGAGACCCTATCCCAACCACAGTCCCCACCTCTCCTCTGCAGAGGCCCCAGGCTGCCCCACAAGACTGACTCTTGGGAAAAACTGCCCCTGATGAAAGGCCACAGCTGCTGGAACCAGCAGGCTCAAATGGGATGCTCTCAGAAGCCAGGGTGAAAAGGAGAGATCCCACCAGGTTGGCTTCTCTGGAGCTCAGGCAGGGGCTGCGTGGAGGAGGCTGGGGCTCGTGCCCCGCGCTCTAACAGACCCTGAGGGAAGTGAGCGACCTCCCCAGCCTGGAATCACATGGCTCCTTCTACCAACCACAAAGTTGAGGTTTGGCCACAGCCAGCAGTACCTGGGGAACAGGGCGCCATGGCGGGGCAGGGAGGGGAACCCAGCAACCAAGCCCTGGCTGGGCCATGTCTCCTGCAAGCCAAGTCACCTTATCTGGAAGCAGGAGCTCTGCCGCCGCACTGTTTCTAAGGTATCCCCATGGAAATGCCATGTGATGCTAGACACTTACGCTGCCTGTTATTTTCTCTCTCAAACCAGGCAGCTTTGGGGAATTTGCATGTTAACTGTTATTCCCCAAGAGGAAGCTCCACTTTCAGTCTCCAGGAAGCATTCTGAATGCATTTTTGCCAACTTGCCAGGGACATCTCCCTTCTAGTAAATGCTGGCTTGGGCACCCCCGGGATGGCGGTGGATGACCGCTAGTTGAGAGTGGGCCCAGGCTGTGCTCCATAGGCAGGAAGGCCCATACTGCAGCCCAGGGTAGGCACATCCAAGGGCAGCCCGAGGGGGTGTGGGGAGAAGGGGGCCTGGGAGTTGGGGTCACATGGCCCCATTCTGGTCACATGGGAGTTGGGGTAGGGGTCCCTGAGAGCCCCTCACTGGGCCAAGACACCCCGGAACTCTCCCTCCCTGCCCCTGTGCAGCCTGCTGTCCTTTCTTGGAGTGTGTGCAGCAGGCCAGCTCTTCCAACAGGTGGCAGGACCAGTCAGGGATGGGGACACATGCTGCTCAGCACCTGCTGTGGCTTTGCCCCTCCTTCAGGCAGCCCCAGAGCACACCCACAGGCCACCCTGTCCCCTGTCCCGTTGTGAGTTCTGCCTTGTGGCTCAGAGACTACGTGGCAGACTGCAGCCCCCAGAGCATCAGAAGGAAGAGGGGGATGTGCAGGGCTGGTGACCACCTCAGCCCCAGCCTGACCCCTTCCTTCTCCCTCTCACCTCCGGGGAGCTCTCACTTCTTCCCAGGCCCCAGCTCCACCAAGGGGGACGCCACCTGGTAAACCCATCACCTACCTGAGGTGTAGGAGGCTCCACTTTCCGTTTCTTCTTCTGGTTCTGCTTGTTGGTCCTGGGATAGACCATGAGCATCTCCAGCCACCTGGGAAGAGAAGAGGAGACAGAGCACCAGGTAAGACCTGGCTCTTGGGTCTATGCCAAGACGGAGGGGCATGGTCCAGACCCCAGGCCTTTGCCTCCTGCATCCAGCAGCCAGGCATCCAGGCACCAAGTAGAGCAAGGCATCACTCCAGATGGAAGCCTGTCATGCTGGGGCAGCAAGTGCCCCCAGAGCAGGCCCAGCCAATGCCCCCACTGTGACCACAGCAGGCTCAGGGCACAACACGGGCTGCAGGCCTGGCCATGGGCGTCAGAGCACAGGGTGTGCTGCTCCATTACCGACCCTGTCGCTGGGGCTTAGACTCGGCCCCAACACCACTCTCCCAGAATGGATTTGGCAAGTGCAGAAGGGCTATGACCGGAGCCATTTAGGGCCACAGAAGCAGCCACTGGCCCCGGGGCAAGAAACCAGGAGCTGTGCTAGCAAAGTTCCTCTGGCTGGTCACCTCAAGGGGCTGAGCAGCTGATCTCCCAAGACCACCCCCTGTAGAGGGAGGATGCCAAGGCCCCTGGCTTTGGGGAAGGCTGGGAGGAGCTGCCCAGGGACCCCCACTGGGGCTGCAGCAGGGGAGGGTGGAAAGAACAGGGACTGCAGGCAGGAGGCTTGGCCTCTGGATCTAACTCTGCCATCTGACCACAACCCCAGGCGGTTCCCAGTCCCTCTGGGCTTCGGTCTCATTTCCGAAATCAGGGGCTAGATCAGGTCACGACACAACTGCTGCTGCTTCCGCCATATAGAATCCTGCAGCAGACAAAGGAACTGAACAGCAGCTCCTCCCTGGAGCCTTGTGCCAGTTCCCCTGGGGCTGGAGGGCAGAAAGCAGCGGGGGCCCTGCCTCAGAAACCCCAGCTCTAGCCCTGGGCCTGGTGGGGCAAGGGCAGCCCCAGTGTCCTCTCCAGGAGGGAGGAGCCATAAGCGACATTGCTCTGAATCTTCATAGAGCACCAGGGTCCTTGCTGGGCCTTCTGCCAGGTGGGGCCGAGGGCCAGGGGTGGCAGAGAGCACAATGCCACACTGCCTGGAGGCCACACCGAGCCTGGGGCAGCGAGTCTTTAGCACTCAGAGGTGCTTTTTTAATTTGGGCTGCCGCAGGAAGGGAGGGGTGGAGGGCAGGCCAGTCACAATCAGTGGCCTCTGGGATAGCCCGAGGAAGGTGTGCTGTTGACAGCTGTGGCCAGGGAGTCTGGGCTTGGTGAGGGGCCACCCTCTGCCCAGCTCAGCCACAGTCAGTGATGCTCGATTTTTTGAGAGGATGACCAAATATGTGCACCATCAGAGACCCAAGCACAGGCCCTGCAGGTCACTTCTCCATGGCCCCAGAGCAAGAAAGGAGGATGTGGCCACACCTGCCAAGCCAGCAGGTGGGCAGGCTTTCTGAGGCTTGAGCCTCTTCCCTGCTGGTCACTCCTCCCACCAAGGCCAGCTGGGAGTGGCGGCCACTGGGAGAAGGCCTCACTCATACAACTTAGAGCATTCACGGTGCTTGTGGGGTTAAAAAGACCCATCCCCCTAGCCTGCCATGGTGGCCAACATTTCTACTGAGCACTAGGAAGAATAGTGCCTGCAGAAGGCCACTCTTAAAACTCCACCCAGGTGGGGAGAGGAGACTCCTCGGTAAAGGTTAGCTTGCTCCCCCCAGCCTGGGAATGTAAAGAGCATGGCAAGGATGCAGAACCCTTCTGGGTGCCTCCAGCCCTGCATCCTGGCCCAGGTGCCATCAGTTGTCACCCACTAACAGGCCTTGAGGGAAGAGGAGAGAAAGGTTGCCGCTGCGGTAGCACTGCAGGCAAAATGGAGCTACTGAGTTCTCCTAGGCTGGCCTCAGAAAGCCAGGGACCCAGGAGGAGCCGGGGATAGTGGGGAAGAGCCTGGGTCGTCCCAGAGGCCTGGGTCCTATTCGGCATCTTAGTCTTCACTCAGACTGGAGTCAGAGAGATGCTGGGTCCGGGAACAGACAGCGGAATGTGTCTTCTGCACTTTTATTTCTCACGGAAGCCCAGTAGGAAGCATCTAACATCATCCAGATGTGTTACAAATGTTAACAAAATAAACTCTACGAAGAGAGGAGGTGGTGAATGTGGACACAGGATCAGTGGGTGCCGGGGCACCGCACCTGTAGAAGGCAGAGGTTGAGGATTCTGTAGAAGCCTCTGGTACTCTTAAATTGTAGGGTTCTTGATTAAGATTGGGGACAGACACAAAATGGTCCTCCAGTGTGTCCCCAGGAGGACTCCAGAGAGTGGCACCCCATAGAGTGCGGTCTGCAGCCCAGCGCTGGCCCCCGACCCCACCCTCAACACATGGACTTGAACTTCTGGCCACTGACAGTGCTTCCTCGCTTACCAGCCTTGCTCCAGGAAGTCTCCCATGTGCTCAAACCCAAGGGCCCCGCGTCCCAACTCCCTCTGCTCTGCACTGCTGTGAGAGCCGGTGCTGTGAGAGCACTGCCACGGCCGGCCCGGCCCCTGCCCAGGCCATCTCGGGTCTGCCTCCTCAGCCTTGGAGGATGAGGGATTCTCCGAGACCTAGCGCCTGAGCTCCCAGCCAGGCCTGACCACGTGTGGCTTTTGACCATGGCCCAGGCCACAGGGTGTTGGTAGCCAATGCCCCCCTGCTGGACTGGGAGTTGCTGGAAGGCTGACGCTGTCGTGGCTCCAGAGCATGGAACGGGGACCACAGGCTCTCTTATGACCTGGGCCCTCCTTCCACTCTCAGAGGAGTGGGGTGAGGGAAGACTGGTCCATTCTCTCCATTCAGACAAAAAAGCCAGTCTGTGCAGTGGCAGAAGAGTGGCTATGTGTGAGGTACAGGAGATGGGACTGAGACACACCACCCTCAGGGCCATCACTGAGGAAGACACACATGTGCTCAGGCAATCTTGAGCCCTCACAGGTTATGGAGCCCAGGGCATCCTTGGGGAGGGCATGTACAGGGTGCTGGGGTGGGCTGGAGAGCTGGAACTCGATCGCTCTGCAGGTGATAGGGTTTAGACAGGAGGGGCAAGGTCGGATGTGCACTAGGGACTGATCTCCCTCCAGGGTGAGTGACAGGTGAGCTGGGGATATGGTGAGAGTGGAGGTGGGGAGCCCAGTGAACAGGCCCAAGGAAGGCACAGCAGCCCCAGGACCAAGAAGCAAGCCCCAGAGTCCACAGGACATGAGCGGCAGCCTGGGCGAGTGCGCAGAATGGAGAACGCCCTGGTTTCTGGGGTGGTGAGTGGGTACACGGTGATGCTGAGAACAGAGGAAGCCCAGAAGAAGAGTCGCTTAGGGAAAGAAACAATGATGCTGATGCTGCCACCAGCTCGTGCATGGCCCATTTGATGCTGGACCTGAGAGGGTGGGCAGGGAGCGCCTCTTTCCACAGCCCGAGCAGACTCACCCACTGATGATCTCCTTGGTTTCTGCCCTGATGAAATGCTCTTTCTCAGGAGTCAGGATGCACAGGGAGAACCTCTGGCCAGTGCGGCCCTCCCCATCCACCACATCTGTGCACTGGTTCATGTTGATGGTGCCCTGAGGGAGGGTCGTGGGCTGCAAGAAGACAACGGCAGAGAGTCATCCAGAGGCCAGCCAGTGAGGGCTGTCCCACACAGCCCCTGGGCGACCCCAGCCCTCCTCACCCCATGGGGCCCCCAGGTGTGCCCTCCCTCCCCTAGACCCTCAAGGTCCTACATACCCACCCCAGGGAGGGGCAGGGATAGGTCAGGCTTTCTCCAGAGGACAGCTAGCTGGACATCCCTTCGTGCCTGGAGAACATCCCACTTGTACCAGAGGAAGGGGTAGAGGTTGGGGAGGAGGACAGTGGGACAGTGGCAGCCAAGGTCCTGGTCTCAGAAGGGTTGCTGATCCAAGACAGCAGTGAGAAAAAGCTCCAGAGGAGGTGGTTTCAAAATAGCAAGGTTATTTTTAGAGGCAAGGGGAGGGCTGGAGAGAAGCCACATCCTTGGGAGCAGGACACGGGGCTGGTGCAACGCAAGTCCTTCAGAGGAGCCCGCCAGGAGGCCTGGCCCAGCACCTTCCCAGGGCCCAGTGCAGCACTGCAGGAGCAGTGCCTCCCGGCGCCGGCAGGACAGACACTAACTTTTTTTTCCTGACAACAAAATTTGTTAAGACAGTGAAATTAGGGACAGAAAACCAAACACAGGAAAGGAAGGCTTTAGGAAACCCCCTGAAGCAAAGGGGCCGCAGAGGACCATGCTGAAGATAGCTAGCCCCGTGCCCTCTGGCCTCTGACTCCCCACACAAGGATGCTCTGGCAAAGCAGACAGGTCGCCACTGCTACCACCAGGCCAGGAGCCAGAGGCGCCATCCTTGACGCCCTCTGCACTGACAGTTCTCACAGGACAGCCAGCTCTGGGGCAGCTGTCAGCTTCTCCACCCAGTTTACCCAAGAGCCCACCACTTCCTCGGCCTTCCTGGAGAAGCAGCAGGTGCTTGCTCATCGAACTTGGGAGAAAAGGCGAACAGCAGTCCTCTGGGATGAGAGCTCTAGAAGGTTCCTACCACTGCCCAGCCGGGAACTGCCTCCTGCTGCACGTGGGGGCAGGGGCTGGCTGAAGAGCAGGATGCCAGGTCTGGTGCCCGTGCTGTGCTCAGACTGGCCACTCCTCACCCCCCACCTTTTCACTTGTCAGACACAAGTAGGAGCTTCCTGTTACTTCCACCAGGCTGGCCTATGAGCTCCTCTGACCCACCTGCCACATCCCTTGATGCCCACCTGTAGGAGCCAGACCCGAGGGTGCCGAGTTCGCAGAGCCCTTGCCCACACACAGGCACTGGCTCTCTTCCCCATGGGGGAAAAGGAGTAAGCGCCTGGCTCAAGAAAGCCTTTCCCTGTGGGGCCTCTGGGCTCAGCTGCCCTCTGTGAGCCTAGCTCAGAACGGAGGTGGCAGGGCAGGAGGGCCAGAGGCTGGGCTCACAGGGAGGCCTCTGACTTTCAGTGGGAAAGAGCTTGCACCTCTGGCTCCAGTGTGAGCCACAGTGCTCACAGTGCATCCCGCCTCCGCAGTGACCCCAGGGGGGCACGAGGAGGAGCCCAGGGTTCTCCATCAGTGCAGCAGCCTGCAGGTGCCTCTCCCTGACACTCCTGGAGCTGGGCAGGGCTGCCCTGAAAACAGCAGGGAGGTTCCTCAGGGAACAGTGAGCAAGGGCCGAGACCCAAGTGCCCACAGCCTTCTGGTTGGAGAGGCCCACACTGAACACACAGCCACAGGGTGGGGGTCTTGGCCTTCCCAACCTCCTCCCTCCAGCTGTGGCCCTTTTATTCTATTCTACAGAAGCTCTGGTCCCCAGGCATCTCAGGAGTCATGCAGATACCCATCTGGACCCTCTCTGGCCACACTAAGAGTTACTCTGGCTGCTCTCTCAGAGCTCAACACCCCGGCAGAGAAATGCATATCCCCCAGCACTGACAAAGTGCCTCATCTCTCAGAGGCAGATCCTCTTGCTTGAGAAATAAGGAAGCTGATGCCATGAGCCACAGCGAGGACTGGGTGCCATGAAGCTTAGAGCGTGGGGCAAGTCCAGTGGATTCATCACCGGAGTGAGCCAGGAGTGACCGCAGAGGGGCGGGTGTGGCCAGGGGCTTTTCCAACTCGACTCTTCCTTCCTAGGCTTCCACACCCGGGGTGTCTAGATGCTGACAGAACATGCCCTGGATAAGTGTTAATATCTGCACCACAAGACAACCTATTATGAAATATAACGTATACGGTGCACACAGCCAAAGATAAGTTACATGGGGACAATAAAACACATCAACAGAAATTGTAATATTCTCTTCTCGGCGATCACCCACTGGACCCCGGGGTGCACAGGCTCTGAAGCTGCTGTTCCAGGGTTCAGTGCCACAAGATGACGCATCAACTCAAAGCCCACTCTCCCTCTCGCACAACAGCCATCTCACTGGACGCTCAGCCCCCACAGACCCTTGCCCTGCTGCCGGACACAGCCACGCACCTCAGCCTCACCAACAAGTAGGAAGCAACACCCACAACCTCTCCACCGCTCCGTCCTCGGTTTCCTAACATGCAAAATGAGGCTTCTACCTCCTTCCAAAAAGTATCTCAGAATCATCAATAAAAGACAAAAACCTAACAAGATAGAGACCAGGACTGAAGGAAATTCACATTTATTTGCTAACTATGTTAGGACCCTACAACTACAGTATCTTTTATGCCCCTTAAATGTTACTTGTTGTGAGGTGGGCATCACCTAATCCTGTCACAGTCACAGAAATGGGCACCAACGGAGGCTAAGTAACAGTCACGCAAGAAGGGAAAACTGACTCCAAAGCCCAGTCTGTTTCCACTAGGGCACAGAGCTTCCAACGAGCTAGGAAGAGGTAGGAAAACATCCTGCTCTGAAAACACATGATTTCATTCTTAGCTAACCCCAGTATTAACTTTTCTTTTTAATAATATTAATAGGTTTACTGAGATATAATTCACATATCATAAAATTTACCTAAAATGTACAGTTCAATGGCTTTTAGCACATTCACAGAGTTACACAACAATCAATTGCAGAACGTTTTCATTACCCCCCCCAAAAAATACCTGAACCATTAGCAGTCATTTCCCTTTGACACATCCCTCCCTCCCACCCCCTCCCCAAGCCAGCAACCATTAATTTGCTTTCTGCCTCTGTGTATTTATCTATTCTGGATATTGTATATGAATGGAATTCTGCAACATGCAACCTTTTATGTGTGGGTTCCTCCATCTAGCATATTTTCCAGGTTCGCCCACAACACAGCATGTATCAGTACACTCATTTTACGGCTGCATAATATTCCATCGTATGGCTATATTGCATTTTCTTTATCCACTCATCTGCTGATGGACGTGTGGGTTATCTGCACTTTTTGGCAATGTGAACAGAGCTGCCACGAACACGAGGACACGTGTTTGTGTGGACGCCTGCTTCATTTCCCTTGGGCGCATACTACGAGTAGAAATGCCAGGTCTTACAGTGACTCCATGTTTCACGCTTTAAGGAACTGCCAGACTCTTTCCCAAAGTGGCTACACCATTTTACATTCCCACCAACGGCATGTAGGATGTGGTACTAACTTTAAATTATATTTATGCCTCGCTTCCAACCAGGGCTCTCAGAGGGCAGGTCCAAGAGCCTATGTCATGACAACCTGCTATGAAAATAGCTCCTTCCAAGTCTTGACAGCGCCACCACCAGCACCAGCAACGGGCCACAATGTCACTCCCATTCCCACGCACCTGCTAAACACCAGGTCCTGGTCCAAATCCCTCCCCTATGTTCTCTCAACTGGACACTCCCACAATACCGTGAGGCAGGTGCTGCAGTCACCCCATCCTACAGACAGGGAAGCAGGCCACCAAGAAGTTGAGTACGATCGTGCGCCATCTAACCACATTTCAGCTGATGACAGACCACATATATGATGGTAGAATTCTAATACCACATTACTGTGCCTTTTCTATGTTTACATACATGAATACTTAGTGTTGTGTTACAGGTGCCTACAGTATTCAGCACAGTCACACGTACACGTTCGCAGCCTAGGAGCAATAGGCCATACCGTGTAGCCCAGGTGTGTAGAAGGCTGCAACATTTAGGTTTATGTAAGGGTACTCTATGATGTTTGCACACGGATGAAACTGCCTGATGATGCATCTCTCAAAAGCTACACCCCATTGTTAAGAGATGCATGACTGTAACTTACGCTAGGAACCATGCCAGGAAGTAGCCATGCCAGGACTCAAACCCAGGTACTCCGGCTCTGGCGCCAGCCCCTTCGCCACTCTGCACTCAGCTGTGGCTCTGGTGCTCACAAAGCTGGAGCAGATTCAACCGTGGGCTGCAGACAGCCCCAGGCCAGCCTCTCCCCTCCCCTGCCTCTGCTTAGGAGGCAAGATATACCCATCTGCATTCTCAGCACTCAGGAGAGAGAAGAAAATGTGCTGCAAGAGCAAGGGCAAATATCTAGGCCACAACTCAAATCCAGCCGGAGGGAACGCCTCGCCTCTCACACTGTCAGCAAAGGAGGCGCTCCAAAGAGCTCTCTGTCCTAATTCTGCACCTCCAGAGGTTAGGAACCCAGGCCTCCTAGGATGCCAAGCTTCACCTAGTTTTGCTCATTTTCTTTTCCAAAAAAGAGATGGCTGCCTGCAGGCCAAGTTATGGGTTCTGTCTTTGCCCAGACTACAGCCATCTGGAGCCTCTGGTCCTCTTCTGGCCTCCATGCCACTGCAGCTAAGAGAGCAGGGCTGCTAGAGCTGCAGACTATTTCAGTGGGAGGCCATAAGACAGGAGCCTCTCTCTAAACAAGCCTGGCCCTCTTACCTGTCCTCTACCCACCAGCTCACAGGAGACTGAAACCTGCCTGTGTCAGGAGCCAGCACAGCCTTCCTGGGTTAGGGCAATCCTACCACAGTAGCCTCACCACCTGGGGACCCTCCACCCCTCCCCTCAGCCCAAGTAGGTACAGTTTTGGGACAACCAACCTCTGTTTCTGGTTGACCCCTGGGAGTACAAGAAGGCAAGCTTCTAAG